GGCCCCATCAGAGTGCCCCCTGTCATAAGGGAGGTGTGGCAATGCAGACAGTTTTACATATTCCAATTAGATTTCATTCTTTGTCTGTTTGTCACCACCAGGGGACACCCTCTATACATGTTAAAGGGAACCTGTCATTGTAGCTGGTACCTCTCATAGATGAGGTTCCCATCCAGTTCTGCAGTTCCCCAACTCCCCAAAGTCGAGGTAGTTATGAGGCAGAACACTTAAAGCAAATATAAATCTTCAGAAGGCGCTCACACTAACAGAACGAATTAACTAATCGCTGATGAAACGCTCAAATCCATCAATACATGGTGCTAAAACCTTTCCTGCAACATTGTATCAAATCTCCAGCATAAATATATCGCTTCGGCTTTACATGTATTCATAGGATCCATTCATACCTATGTGCCAGTGATTCAGCTGCATTTTATTTGTGATTTTCATTGTGTATTGTAACGTATTATGACGTGCTATACAAATTTATAAAAGATAATCAGACAGGTCATATTTTTTTTACTTGCGTTGCAAAACAGTGCAGAGATGTCAACCCCACATATTTATAACATTGGGGGCTTTTATACACGGGTCGGCTAAGTATGTTTGCAGCCATATTTCCTTTGCCCAGGTGTAGCATATAGCCTGTCGTTAACATGTTGTACTCATGTATGTGGCAGTGCTATCATAGACTTGAATACAAAAGTAGAACACTTTCTACTATAGGTAGCACAGTAGCTAAATGGTTAGCACTTCTGCTTGGCAGTACTAGAGTCGCTGGTTCGAATCCCAACCACGGCACCACCTGCCTGGAGTTTGCATGTTCTCCCTGTGCCTGTGTGGGTTTCCTCCGGGTACTCCGGTTATCTCACACACTCCAAAGACATGCTGGTAGGTTAATTGGCTCCTGTCTAAATTGTCCCTAGTATGTGTATGTATGAATGTAAGTTAGGGACCTTAGATTGTACGCCCCTTGAGGGTTAGGGACTGATGTGAATGTACAATACAGGCGTACCTCAGTTTAAGAATGCCTCATTTAATGTAATATTTATTTTACGAATAAAAATCCATTGAAAATAATGCCTTGGTATACAAATTTGTTTTGCAATATGAAGCGTTTATAGCGCCAGCCCCGTGCCTTTAAAGTGCATTAGTTTTGAACAGATAAGACTTTTTTTTTTTACCTTTTTTTTTTCTCACCTCCGGAACGGATTAATTGGTTTTCAATACATTTACGAATTCATTTTTAATCATGTCCCTGTACAGTATTTATGCCTTTAAAGTGCACTTTATAAAGAGTTTTAAACAGATAAAAGACTTTTTTTTAAAACTTTTTTTCTGACCTCTGGAACGGATTAATTGGTTTTCAATGCATTCCTATGGGAAACCGCGTTTCAGATTACGAATTTTTCGCAATACAAAACGTCACGCAGAACGCATTAAATTCATAAACTGAGGTACGCCTATTTATATATATATATGTAAAGCACTGCGTACATTGACAGCGCTATATAAATACCTGTATAAATAATTATAAGTGAGTAACCAGGGGAATCGCTTTATGTTGATAGATATTTTTTTCTGCTGCGAGACAAATGAAGAAGAATTGTCTCAAGTTCTGGAAAGGCACGAGACACTCCTTGACAAATGCTCCTTTTCTATGTGAAGGCAGTCGTATTTTACTTTTTGTGCTTCCTTTCTGAAAGTTTCCATTTAGTGGCTGAATGTTCATTTCATAAGAGTTTGATGTTCCAACATATGGAATTGATATAGCGCACACCTACAGCCCCCTCCGGTTCCCCCTCTAACACGTATTCATCACCCCCTCTTGTCTGCAATATTACTAGTCATGTGCTGACTGTGAATCACTCAGCATCCCCGCCATATGCACATTGGAAATAGATTATTCTATCACCTGCCCCCACCGTCGTCTTCCAGGTCAGCGGATGAGGACAGGTTGGGCTGGGCGCCATGCGGTCTGCCTGTTCCTGTGTATGTTGGCAGAGCTTCCAGTGCCACATGTGGCAGGATTAAATTGGGCAGCCTCATCTCTGTGTGTGTATGTGTGCGCGCCGAGAGTGTGTGGGTGAATTGGCCGCAGAAAGCTCTTCCAGATGTTGCAGGGCGGTTCAGTATCCTTCAGCACTCTGGGTGGACGGGAGGGAGGAGGAGAGACATTCTTTCCTTTAGCATCATTAAATTCCTGCTAACCTCCTCTCCTCTCTCTCTCTCTCCCTCTTGTCCAAATACTCTCAATTTCCTCCGTCTTGACGGAACAGTCTGCAGCGGGTCTGGATGACTTGGGCAGATGGAGTAGGGGCTTTTTGGGGAAGGCGTTATTCGAACCTCTGGTACAAAGCAGAAATTAAAGGGGTTTTCCATCTTTAGTCCTCCAGCGATCACACCCCTTCGCTTTGTCTACACTTGCATCTTCAGAGGGTTGAGCAGTTGTGAGCAGCTTTGAGACTACCACTGTTTGGAGCCGCTTTGCTTCTTTAAGGCTACGTTCACACTAATAAAATAATAGTGCAGCGCTAAAATAAATTTATGATCATAAATTGATAAAAAATACTAAATACCAAAAGTTCATAACAGATATTAATAAATAAAGGTCATAAAGTGACTTTCAGTGCTCTTATGGTGCTTACAATTCTGATACGTCTGTGCTTGTGCAGTGATATGAAGAGAATTGCTCACTCACCAGACGCGCAATAATCATGCGCCAATAAGATAATATCCTGAAGTCATCAAGGTAGGTATGGTAATAAAGGTGACACTGCACGAGCACAGACATATCAGAATTGTAAGCACCATAAGAGCACTGAACTTTATTTATTAATATCTTTTATGAACTTTTGATATTTAGTATTTTTTATCAATTTATGATCATAAATTTATTTTAGCCTGCACTATTATTTTATTATTTGTTATAAGGTTTATTGCTTTGGTTACCTTCGTGCTTAGCTGCTCTATTTCATGTGTGCGCTCACATATACTTACTATACATACGTTCACACTAGCTTTGTCAGCAGGCGTCAGACAGGCGTTTGGGAAGCTTTTTTAACGCTTTTCAACCCTTTGACACCAGCGCCTCCCGGCCCTTTAAGGGTTTCAGAAGCCGGGGGGCGGGTTTAGGGTCATGTGACCGCCGTGACATGCCGTCATGGCGGTCACATGATCGGGAAAGGTCTCGATCGAAATAGAAAATCGGGACCTTCCCGTGATTACCATCCATGTGTGCTGGGAGCACATATGTTTTTTTTTTTAATGGAATGCAAATGTGCGGCTGTTCGGCGTCTAGACCCAGACACTGGGAGGCCACACATTTGTGTTTGGCCGGTGTGAAGAGGTTTATATTGTAAAGAGCTGCGCAAACTGTTGGCGCTATATAAATCCTCTTTAATAATAATAATAAATGCCTATGAAAATTCTGCACATGGCAGCACACAGTGCTGTTCACACTGAAGCATTAGCGTCGCGGCAAAACTGACGCCTCATGTAGAGTCAGGAGGAGTTAAGCCTCCCATTCAAGTCTATGGTGACGCTCCCCAAATGGAGCGTTAATACCATTAAACTTCATTATAGGTGTTTGCGGTGCGGTTTTAAAGCTTGGCAAACGCCTCAAAAATGCGCATAGGGCATTTGGGGAACGTTAAAAATGCTTCCCAAACGCCTGTCTAATGCTATAGAGGCGTTTGGCAAGAGTTAGAAATCAGTCAAGTGTGAAGGAACCCTTAATCCACTCTATGAAAACCCACTGAAGAGCAATCTCCCTCTGTACAGCGAGAGGTTGAAATGATACCCTTTACTGGCTAAATTACTGTCACCTTACCCAGAAAGGGCAAAGGACAATATCTATGCAAAGTTTCCCTAATTTGACCCCCTTATAGTATTTACCTTGCCTGCAGTGATGTCATCGCCATTTGACGGTGCTCAGGCCTAGCTTTTGGTTGTTGGGCCCGACCTTCGTCACAGGGGAGCACTGCACGTGCTCCCCCATACCCAGAAATGCGGCAAGGGAGTACAGGCAAAGTGGAAGGGTATTGGTGGGGGCCTTCATGCATAGACACAGTCATTTTTGGGGGAGGTGATGTATAGGGTGGCAGTGCTGTGGGGTGGGGGGGGGGTTTGATGTGAAAAGGGCAGAGCACACTACTGTGGGGGGGATTTGATGTAAAGGGGGGCAGTGCAGTGGGGGGGTGATGTAAATGGGGGCAGTGCTGTGGGGGGTAGATTTGAGGGGGGGCAGTGCTGGGGGAGCAGGTGTTGTGAAGAGGGCAGAGCACACTACCGTCAGGGGGGATTAGTGATGTGAGGGGGTGGGTGATGTGAAGGGGGCAGAGTATTTTATCCAGGAAGTTGTTAATGATGCACCTTGCTTTGGCAACTGAAATGTCTGGCAGTTAAAGTGTTACTAAACCCACAAACAGTAAAATCAGTCTGTATATGCAGTAAAACATGCTTATTATATTCCCTGCGGAACCTAAGGGGTTAATCCTCTGCATTGTGTAAAAAGGATGCTTGATCCTGTCTTCTCTGATCCTTTCCTACTTCTTCTATTCCCAATCCATCTGCTGATAGAACAGAGCCTTGGGGGCAAGCTGCACATGCTCAGTTAGGTGTGTATTGCTAGAGGGTTTTTTTTCTTGGGAGAGTGCATGTGATTAGCACAGGGCCAATCAGCACTGTCCAGACAGAGGGTCAGGGTCATGCAGCCTCATAGGACAGTCATAGCAAAATGAAAACTCCTTCTACAAGCTTTAACTGGTGCTTAGCTGGACACTGATAGAAGTCACACGACTGCTATATACTGCTGATGAGAGAAGGTATTTAGCAGTTTATATTTACTAACATAATTGCATTTCCATGTTGTGTGTTCTGTGGGAGACCAGATATAGTGAATGCAGGGTCCGGGGAGACCGAATATAGTGAATGTAGGGTCCGGGGAGAGCAGATATAGTGAATGCAGGGTCCGGGGAGACCAAATATAGTGAATGTAGGGTCCTGGGAGACCGAATATAGTGAATGCAGGGTCCGGGAGACCGAATATAGTGAATGTAGGGTCCGGGGAGACCAGATATAGTGAATGCAGGGTCCGGGAAGACCAGATCTAGTGAATGCAGGGTCCGAGGAGAGACCAGATCTAGTGAATGCAGGGTCCGAGGAGACCAGATCTAGTGAATGCAGGGTCCGAGGAGACCAGATATAGTGCAAGACCAGATATAGCAGGGTCCGGGGAGACCAGATATAGTGAATGCAGGGTCCGGGGAGAGACCAGATATAGTGAATGCAGGGTCCGGGGAGACCAGATATAGTGAATGCAGGGTCCGGGGAGACCAGATATAGTGAATGCAGGGTCCTGGGAGACCAGATATAGTGAATGCAGGGTCCTGGGAGACCAGATATAGTGAATGCAGGGTCCGGGGAGACCAGATATAGTGAATACAGAGTCCGGGGTTTAGTAACACATTAAGATTCATATTTACGTTGTTACAATTTCCTTTCATGTATGTCTAAAATAACTAAAAACCTTAAGGTGCAACTAATGGCTCCTGTATGACCATCTAAACAAGTCCCAAGTCCAGTTACTGTTTGATACACAAGCCCCAAAAAGTCTAGCAAAACACTTTCCCTGACTGAGCCAAATCCTCCTTTAATGTGTCTCACATTCCCACTCCCAGACACTGCAGCAACAGAGGCAGTGCTGCCCATTCAGGAAGCAGTGGGCAGAACTAGATGAAAAATGGGGGTGCTGATTGACAAGCTACAGGCTTGTCAATCAGCAGCAACAATACTGATAGCCCCGCCTCCTGCATCGTCTTCTCATCCCACTGTAGGTCAAACAGGTACAGCCTACATAGGAGTGGCAACTGTGCTTTGGATTCAGGAGCAGCGCAGCATCGTTGTCACACTGTCACAGCTGCATCAGGTGGTCTTCACTGGCAGAACCAACAGGTGCTTGTAGGGGGGACTAGGAGAAAAAACTAAGTGCACTTTTAAACTAATTGCTGAAGCAGATAATTATTTGTTTAAAGGGAGACTATCATATTTCTTTAAAAGACTATTTGTTCCACTTAAAGTGAATCTACAGTGACTTTTATTACTTATCCCTAATGATGGTTGGCTGACAGCAAGATGTGATTTGCAGTGTAATCAGTGTGTAACATAATACATAACAGGCTTTAGTTGGCCCAATTTATCCATTAAGGCCGGTTCACCCCATAGAAATGCAGTCCAGATGCGTTCTCGATGATTTTCTGCTTGCTTGTTTTTGACGTGTTTTTTTTATGCATTCCCGGTGTGATTTTGGATGCGTTCCGGTGAGTTTTTTCCCCTCCTTTTTTCTTTACCTTAGATTATTATTATTCTACAGGATTTATATATTTATTATTATTAGAGATGAGCGAAGTATTCAAAAATTCGATTCGAGACTGATTCGGCGAATTCGTAGAAAAAAATTCGATTCGAGTCGAATATATTCGCTGTGAATTTAACTTAAAAAAGGGTGTTTCTAGGCTTCAGAGAGACTTAATATTAGTGCTGAACACTGTAC